CAGCGGCGCAGCGGTGCTCACGCAGCCGCAGCGAGGAAGGGAAGGCGGCCCCGCAGGACGGGCAGCGGTGCGGCTGGCGGCCGGCATGGGCCACGAGCTGGTGCACCTCCAGCAACCGGCGCAGCAGGAAGGAGCGGGGGCACTCGCGACACTTGTACGGGTACTCGCCCGTGTGGTGGTAGCGGTGCATGAGCAGGCGGTAGGGGCGGTGAAAACGCACGCCGCACTCCTGGCAGCGGTAGGGGAAGTGCTGCGCGTGCACCAGGCGGTGCTGCCGCAGCGTGGAGCTCTGCGTGAAAGCCTTGCCGCAGTCCCCGCAGCGGTAGGGCCGCTCCCCCGTGTGCGTGAGCCGGTGGCGGGCCAGGTTGGCGGGCGAGTTGAAGGGCTTCGAGCAGTCCGGGCAGGGGAAGGGCCGTTCGCCCGTGTGCGTGCGCAGGTGGTTACGCACGTGAGACTTCTTCTTAAACATCTTGCCGCAGATGCCACACTTATGGCGCCGCTCCAGCCGATGCACAAAACGCTGGTGCCGCGTCAGCTGCAAGGCCTTGCCGAACTCGCGGCTGCACAGCAGGCAGCGGTAGGTGCCCGGGGCAGCTGGCCCTGCTGAGCTCTCTTCGGCCACAGGAGGCTCCGGCGCCTCGGACTCTCCAGTCTCTGCTGGGGCCGGCTCGGGGAGCCCAATGACCGGCTCCTCGGGGGGGACCGGTGTGGTGGGCAGAGGGACGCCCCCCGCCCCATGGGTACGCCGATGATACAGGAACTTGGTGAGGTTGACAAAGGTCTTTCCGCACGGACACGAGTGCAGAGGATTCGGGGTGTGGGCTCGCCGGTGGGCCAGGAGCAGGGCCTCTGTGCCAAAGGCCAGGCCGCAGTCCACGCACAGGAAGTGAGACTCGCTGCTGTGGTCTCCAAGGTGCTGGTCTAGACTGGAAGGGCTGGGGAAGACGCGACTGCACAGAGGGCACTTAAAGACACCCTCCCGGTGACTGCGCAAATGCTGCTGTAGCTGGTGAGGTGACAGAAAGAGCTGGTCGCACGCGGAGCAAAAGAGCTCCTGGGTGGCCGTCCCGCCCGGCTCTCCGCCGTTGTTCCTCCGGGCCTTGCGCCCCCGGCGATCGCGCCCAATGGCTTCACCGTTGCGCAACTCGTAACTGTGGTCAGAGGACGGCAGGGGATCGGGCTGGGACACAGGCACCTCCGCAGGTGACGGAGTCAGGGTCTCCTGCTGCAAGGCAGGCTCCTCCGACTCGGGGACCGGGGCAGGGAAGTGGGTGGCCTGGTGCTCCAGGAAGTCGGCTGGAAGCTGAAAGAGCTGGGAGCACTCAGAGCACTTGTACAGGAGCAGCTCCACCTCAGTGACCACCTCAGTGGTGGCGGCGGCGGCGGCGGAAGGGACAGCTGCCCCTTCCCCACCCTCCTCTGCCTTGCGGTAGGAGTGCTCCACAGCCACACGGGCCTGGCCCACAGGGGTCCCCAGGACCACCGGGGACCCCAGGACCACGGGGGCCGCAGGCTTGGCGGGAGTGCCCCGGAGGTGCGTCTGCCGGTGGCTCAGCCAGAGCTCCTGGCTGGCGAAGAGAGCCTTGCAGTCCACACACTCGTAGTGGATGGTACTGGAGCTGAGTGCGGGCGCCTTGGCTGGCGGCTCAGCCGCCACCGCCTCCTGGGGAGCCATCATCTTCAGGTGCAGCTCCTGGTGCTCCAGGAGCTGGCTGGGGGACAGGAGCAGCTGCCCGCACTCCAGGCACTGGTACTGGCTCTCCTGCACCAGGGTTTGATAGAGGCCCGTGCCAGAAGCTGCCTCCGTGGCCACCGCGACTCCAGGCTCAGCCACGCCCACCAGCTCGAAGTGCTGCTGGGGCACATGGGAGTTCTGGTGCACGAGCACTTCCTCCAGGGACCCGTACAGCTGGTTGCACTCGGAGCAGACATAGCGGTGCTCGATGTACAGGACCGTCTCCTCGGATTCCTCGGTCATGGCGGCAGCGAGGCCCTGGGCTGTGAAAAGAAAGAGGTGGGGACAGATCCCAGTAAACTGCTGTCTCCTCCGTCCTTCTGAGGGACAATTCTTTCCCTTTAGCACTCCCGGCCAAGACCCTGTATGTATTTTACCCTCTAACTTCTTGCTTCCATTTCCCACTCCCACCCCTCACCCCCAGCAATCCTTCTGCTCCTGAACACACGAGACTACCAAGCACAGAACCTTCCCAGCAGTCCCTTCCCAGAATCTATCCAAGGCTCACCTCTGAATCAACGCGCATCAAACTCCACCTACCAGATCCTCGTAACCTGTCCAACCCTTACCTCCCATGCCTCTCAGCTGGCCCACAGCCACGCGCATCACACAGGAACCTGTGTCCTCTCCATTCGAGCCTCCTTCCCAACTCACTACCCCATTCCTGCTCCCCGGTGCCTCGGGGAGTCCTCACAGGCCCTAACGGCCGCCACTTCTCCCAGCCTCCCTCCTCCTCTGTTCCCTCCCCCAGGTTCCTGACATCTTTTTACACCAGAAGACTCAAACTGCCCCAAGCCCCCGCCACTTTCTGCATCCTCACATGGTACAACCCCTCTCCTTTACATACGCCCTTTAGACACTGTCTCTCCCTCTGGTGCCCAGATCCCTCACATCAAACTTGCCCTTCCTTCAATCAACTTGTCTCATGCTGGCGTAACCCATCACTACACCTACACTTTCCCCTCCTAGACCACTTCTCCATGATACCCAGATCCCCCTTTTCAAAGTGCTTAAACCTCTCTACAAATCAAAGCCCTCTCCCACAGCCCTAACCCCCTATCCAGAATACCCAGCCCCACTTCACAAAAGCCTAACCTCTTCATACCTATATTCTACCCGTCACCCCAACTCGTGTCTCACTCTTCACAGAAATTACTTGTTCTTTACATTGAGACCTCACCTACAATTCTAATCCCCCCTGGGGTACCCAGATCCCCTCTTCTACCCCAACCACTATAGGAATGCCCTAGGTGCCTCTTCATATCAACCTCAGCCCCTCTTCTTTACAAAATGACCCAGCCTAACCCATTTTAGGGATGCCCAGATACGGTCTTCACATCACCTTAAACCCTTCCTTACAAACCTCTGTGCCTAACCCATGCCAGGGACGCCCAGACCCCCTTTCACATTATTAAAATACCTAAGCTGAATTTCTTCTTTACGAAATGACCCGTTCCCACCCTAGCCCATTCTAGGGATCCCCAGATCCCCTCTTCGTATCGGCATAAACTCCTCTTCCTTGCAAAAAGACCCAACCCCACTCTAACTCATTCCAGGGATGCTCAGACGCCCTCTTCATAACAACTTAGTTTCTCTCCTTTGCAAAAAGATCCCGGCACATGCTCTAACCCAATCCAGGGAGATCCAGACTACCCTTCACAAAGGCTTAAACTTTCACACATATGCCACTACCACCCCCGCCGGCCCAAATCCCCTTTAGGAATACCCAGACCCTACCTTCTTATGCTGAACCCCCCCGCCCCCGCCAAGCTAGACAGAGGATAGCCAGACCCCCCTTCCTCACACCCAGACCCCTCTCACCAGCTTATTACCCTGGGGATACCCAGACCCCCAACTTCTTGTCAACCTAACAGCTCATTCTCATTCCAGCAATACCAAGACCTTCCCCCACTTAGTACACGGACCTCTCCAACCCCCTAACCTTCTCCAGGGATACCCAATTACCACTCTTCACCTTGACCTAATTCCCTGTACTTTCCAAAAACATTACCTCTACCCAACCTATCCTAGGGACACCCAGACGCCCTTTTCACATAACATAACCCTTTGCACAGACACTCCTCTCAACCCATTCCAACGGTAGCCCCCCCCCCCCCGCCCAACTCCCTTCACATTAATGTAACCCCGTTCTCAATACCCGGACCTCTGCCTCAGCTCCAAATCCTCCCTCCAGGGATATTCATTTGCTAATACCTTTCCACACCAAGCCCCTCTCACTGGTCTAATGCCTTCCAGGCTTACCTACGTTTATCTCTTTATGTTAACCTAATTACCTCTTTTCTCACGCCCTAACCCCCTCCCCAGACACGCAAACCCCCTCTAACCGTCCACCCCGCTTCGGTCCTGACGGCCCCACCACCAGGCCCGGCCCCGATACCCCCTGGAGCCTTGGACACTCTCCCGGGGGGGCAGCTCTAACGCCTCCCTTCCCACCCAGGTCCCTCCCAGCCCCCGGCCCGTGCCCCGCCCCTCCTCACTCAGCCCAGCAGGACTCTA